CCCATTATGTTCAGATGATCAGCTCATGATGCAGAGCGTTGAAAGACACCGTCTGCTCATGGCAACTTGGATGAATGATCCTGTGGACCATGCGACAGTAAACTCTAGCCAGTAATTTAGCACTGCAACACATGGAATGAAAAATGAGTTGTCAAGGTGGCTAGAGGTTCTGAAACTTAATTTTTGTGATAATTGATCTATGACGTGATTCTAGGAATGATTAAAATAGATTCCCACAATTCTGAAGTACATATAATTTTTCTTCTTTCTAATAAAAAAGAGTATTAAAGGGGTCGTCAGTCTGTTGTTTGTGGACCGGGGTTGCTCACTCTGGAGAGTCGAATTCAGCATCGCGATGGGTCACAAATTCGAGTTCCGGTCCGGCCACTCGCCTTTCTTTCGAGGTTGATAAATGAATTCCGCTCAGGGTCAAGGTAACAAAAGACTAAAAGCAATACTTGCCACATGCTTTTTATTTTGTCTCTGAAAAAAACACTCCTGGTTAATGGCATAGAAATGGAAATCAACGCCGCACCACAAACTTCATGAAAAGATTTGTCCCACAGCCTGCCCTATTCAATAAATTGTAAAGAACATCTGCATCCTAATGGTAAAAACTCCACGCTCTTTTTTCCGTCGTTTGTATGAAAAAAAGACTACGTTTATCGTAAGAACTAGCGAACTATTTCCTGTGAAGCGTGTTGGTGATACGCCTCTGATGCACAGTAGTTCAGTCTTCGCGATGCTGAGATTTCCTTCGCTTGAATAGAAAATACAGCAGCTACTGTGCCATAAAGTAAATTTATCAGGCTTTTTACTCGGAACCAATACAGTAAGAATTATGTGCAATAGCGTATAATAGAAAATTGTTCTGTATTCATGTCTACTGATGTTTGAGTACTTCGTTCGTGCGTTGGCAGTTAAACTGAAAAATGTATGAAATCGCGGTTTATTCATACCCAATGCAAGCAAATCAGTCAGTCGGGCGATTAACCGGTACCGGCGTATCAACTCGTATTGTTCCGCCGGCCTTCTTCACTCTAAGGAGGATTAATTTCCTAAACGTATGCTTCTTGCCCATGTTGTCGGCTCTAAACTTCATGGCAGTTGCAGACTGCAGAAAGAACTGCGGAGATCAACACTGTTCACTCTGAAGAAGGTCGTGAGACAAGAACCAAAATGTCGGTACTGGTTAACCACCGATTGAGTATATTCGTTTGCGCTGTGTATGAATAAATATTTTTGTGTTTTTCAGTTTTATTTAAATCATCGAAATGGTATGTAGTGCATTACTGGAAGAAATTCATTAAATTTATGATAATTGATAGTCATCTGAATAAATCTAATTTTCTGTCTTATGTTACAGCGAGTGGTGATTTTCTTGATTGTTACGTTAACGACAGGAATTCATGATTGATAGTTTGGTTCATGTATGACAAGATTCCTAGATTGTTGTTTTGCAACAACAATGCACAGCCTCGTCATTTAATTTAGGAAGTTGTGGAACCATCATCCTTAAAGTGGTGGTCTGACTGATTTACCTCCTAAATTTAAGCGCTAATAATTTTTATTTATATGCGTGCATACCACACGTTTTATGGGTTTGATCATAAAGTGGATACTGAGTAGCCATAAATGTTAAGTATTAAACTTTTTATTAAATTAAGTTAAATTTTTAAGTATTACGTTCGTCATTCCTCCCTTCCTGTCCACGTTTGGCGAAAGAGTGTAGCTTCATTGTCATACTTGTCCTGTCGCCTGGTTTACAATCCCTAATTGTATATCGTTGTGGTTTTGTTA